GAAGTGGTCAACTGTCTCTTAGGGGATGCTAAGATATCCAGTAAGATAAGAACAGAGAAGTGGCCACTGAATTAGGCTACATGGAGGTTACTGGTGCTCTTGCAAGAGCGGACTAAGTGTAGGGATAAGGACCGAAGTCCACTTAGAGTAGGTTAGGGATAGACTGTGAAGTGAGGAATACAAATAAGTTTTCTTGCTGTAATGGGGAACAGACAAATGGAACAGGAGCTACAAGGAAATGTAAGATCAAGGAAGTGAGTTGTTTTTATAAGGACAGGAGATATGAAAAAATGTGTACGATTCAATGGTCCAGTAGAAAGGGAGAACAAAATCGCAGACACAGGAAAAAGTAAATTCAGGAGCAAGGTCCTTGAGAAAGTAAGAGGATCTGGGACACAAAGCACAGATGGAGGGTTGACCTTTCTCTTGGAGTAGAGACAGTTTTACCACAGTAACAGAGGGAAAGGGGGGAGTGTGGGTCCAAATGGAAGTGGGCCAATGGTGGGAAACCTTTGCTTTGTTGCTTCTATTTTCTCAATGAAGAATGAGACAGTCATTGGTGGGAAAGAACAGAAGAGGAGAGGTGTTAAGTGTTTCAGGGAGATGAGAAGGAATAGAATGGTCTTTTCGAAGGAGGGAGGGAAAAGCAAACATCATGGTAGTGGGGATGGCTGGGGGCCGGCAGCCTTGTTAGAGGTGTGTGGACGTAGCTATGCAGTGAGCTCAGTGTTCCTGCTGTGCTCAGCAGCCTGGGTGCAGTGGAGGGGACAGCTGCCTGAGTGGGGCCCTGCTGGGAGGACACAACAGAGGAAGGGAGGAGCCAGAGTTACAACAATAATGAGCCTTGACATCTGCGCTGGGTGAACAAGGAGGTGAGAAAGTGAATGGGGTACAGGTGGGTGACTATTAGTGAAAAGGCTAGGGGTGGTGAGTGAGCAACACTTATGGGGCTATGAGCAGAGCCAACATCCAGAGGCCTCTTTCCAACCTGAGTAGAGGAAGTGTTGCTCAGATAAACTGACCTAGGGCTTGCCATTCAATACCCCTGACCTAGGGCTGGTCATTCAACCTGTCTTGGTTCAGTTAGGGGCCAGATCTCTTCTGTACATGCCTCAGGGAAGTACTTGCGCTGGGTAGCAGGGACAGAGGTGTCCTCCCTACTGGCCTACTAAAGATGGCAAAAGGAAATGGTGAATTTTCTCTGCAAAGGTGACACAACCTGGCATCCACGTGTTTTCACCTGACCTCCCTTTCCCCAGCTCTGTGAAGTAGGACAGGTGGTTTCCCATTTGACAGATGTGGAGACTGAGGACAGGAGATGTGGGGCAGAGCCTTTGGTTTCAGCTCTCATTCTTGTACTCTTTCCTAAAGTTGATGTGGAAGCTCAGTGAGTGCCTGCCAATTCTGAAAATTAAAATTAAAATAGATGTAGAGGCAGATTTCCTGTCAGGGTTATTGAGTCTCAGCCCTGGGCTCTGAGGGGCCTTCAAAGAACATTTAACAATTCCCCTACTCTGCCCAGGTTTCACTTGCACAGGGATTCCTGCCCTTTGAGGGTCTGCCCAGCCTCTTACTCTTCACCTGTCTCTATTGCCGCCACCTCTTGGAGTCTGAACTGCAGCCTCTGGGCTCACCTCCTTGCACTGGCTAGCAGAGGGCCACTGCCCTGCACCATTGGTAGCAGAATGTGGGGTGGAAGGGACTAGCAGAAGCGGAGAGATCCCTCTACTTTGGGAGGAGAACGGTCTGGCTCTGAAACTTGCCAGGAAAAGAACTGCTCATCCCCTGACCACCCCTTCTGATTCACACTTCATGGTCCCCCCTCCCTTCCCTGCCTCAGACTCCTATAACTTTTAAAATTCCCCTCCCTTTCCTTTTTCTCTTCTTTCTTGTAGCCTGCAAAACATTCCAATTGACAAAAGAGGTGCAAATACAACTGTGGGTTTTTTAGCCACTTGAGAGTAAGTTGTGACATGGGGCCCATCACCCCTGAGCACATGAATGCACATGACTACAAACAAGGACATTTTCTTATATAAACACAGGGCAACCATTGAAGTCAGAAGGGTAACGTGAATACCTTGTCATTATCCAGTGCTCAGATCCTCATCACATCCTGCCGGTTGTTACCATCACACCCACAGCTAAAGGACCCAGTTCTGGGTATGCACTGCATTTGTCAGCGAGTCTCTCTTTACTCCAGGCTGGGACAGACTACTCCACGTGGTGGCTTTCGACCACAGGCCATATTCTGTGCATGCCCTTCGGTTGGGCTGTGTTTGTTGCTCTTCCTCGGCAACGCACCTGCGGGAGCAGCAGCCCACGCTGGTTCTCCTTGTGCACTGGCAGGAGCATGCGGTTTGGGTTTCCTGGTTCCTGACAGCATTGACTTTGACCATGTGGTTCAGGTGATGTCTGCCAGGCTTCTTCATGGTCAACTTGCTCTTTCCCCCTTTGTAGTCAGTAAGATTTTCTGGGACAGGTACTTCGAAACCATGTAAATATTTCATTCCTCATCATTCATTTCCCATTTCATTCAATAGGCTGTATCTATTATTGCCAGTACTTACTTTGATTCTCAAATTGTCCCTGATTTGGTCACTGGAGCATCTTCAAGCTGGTTTCTAAATCCTTTTGACATGCCTCCTTCACTTCCTGTGAGCGTTCTTGTTTTCTGGCACTGATGTTTCAGGCTCACCTCGTACTTTCCATGCCTCTGTTCCAGAACCAGCCTTCTCTCCAAGCCTTGATTCCACTTAGTGGACAGTGCCATTTAGAAATGAGGACTCGGAGTGAGGTGTGCTTCCTGACTTCAGGGTGTGGATGCTCCCAGGCTGTCTCAGAAGAAAGAACTAGTGTGTGTGTGTGTGTGTGTGTGTGTGTACATACACACTTACTGAACATGCATTTCTACATCTATCTGCACATATTGTCAAGTATGAGTCCATCTATCACTTCCACTTCTAATCCAGCACCAGTGTCCAGCTTGTATTGCCCTTCCTGTTCCCATGCTTGTGCCTCATTTCTCTGAGGGTGAAAACTCTGGCTCCTGTTATTCTGCATGTGTTTATGTCCTGGATCAATCCCTGTGTGTAAACAAGCTCCCATTGTCAGCATCTCCTGCCCCTGCAGATACTTCTGTCACCCAGTGCTGGACTCTGACACCCTGTGCCAGGCAGCCGCCCACGGGGCACCCTCCCTTCCCTGCTCAGGCTCCAATTGGGGCCCTGCAGTCTCCCTCCCACACCAGAGTGTCCTGCTCACCCCACTCTGGCTCTGATGTACTGTGCTGGCTGCCCTTTCTGCTCAAGCTTCAACACCTCATGCTGGACTATTGTGGCATCTACACTCAACCCCTCCCGGGGCAGCACAGAGGTCTGGTTCGCTCAGCCTCACGTGATGGCTTTAGGATGGACTTGTTCCAGCCTTCCTATGTTGATGGCTCACACTTGATTTTGTCATTGAGGCAAAGGCTAAGAAGGACAAACCATTGTCCTCAAGTGAATAGCTAGCCCTGTGCCCAGTGCCCCGTCCGTGTTCCTGCCCCTCACACACAGGGTCCTGTCAGCTGCACAGCTCATCCAGCCGTGGCATGTGAACTAGAGAGAGGACAGCTTAACTGCACAAATGCTTCCATGGAAATGCTTTTGAAATGCTGTGTCAGCCAGCATTTGTGTGTGTCTCTGGAGTGTAGGTGTAAAGACATAAATAACAACACAGGACATAAAATACCTGCCACCCAGCATCAATCAATCTCGCTCCCTCTCCACCTCCGCACAGCTCCTCAGGATGGATTCTTCGCATTCAGCCACGTACCTCCACGAAGCTGTGCAGCAGCCATGCAGCCCTCACACGGCTGCTTCCACATGCGTGGCCCCCACACAAGCCCACAGCCTCCTCTCTGACTTGGGCTCTGACAACTATTATTTCCTCTCTTTCTCTGCCCAGGAAACCAGTGGGCTGCCGCGATGCTTTAAAA